TTTCGTGGGTTTGGGGGTTTTAGGGTTCTTGGGTTTCGTGGGTTTGGGGGGTTTAAGGCTTGTTGGGTTTTGTGGGTTTGGGGGTTTAAGGCTTCTTGGGTTTCGTGGGTTTGGGGGTTTAAGGCTTGTTGGGTTTTGTGGGTTTGGGGGTTTTAGGTTTCGTGGGTTTGGGGGGTTTAGGGTTCGTTGGGTTTCGTGGGTTTGGGGGTTTTAGGGGAGTGGGAAACTTGCGATTTCGATACTGGCAAGCAGCCGCAGAGCAGCTAGTGGCTAGGCGCCTCTGAGAGCTATAGTCTGAACTCTTTAAAGGAGGTTATGTAGGGGATTATATAGGGAAGTACTGTTGATACTAAAAAGTCCTGCATGACCTTAATATACTATACTCCCATTACTCCCAAGGTTTCAGGTACTTAGGGTCATGCAGAATTTCTAGTATCCACCGCATTATAGGGCTTAGTAAGGCAGACACTAGGAGTCTAGACTATAGCTCTCAAGGAATTCCGGGGAAGTGAATCGTCTTGTCTTGGCTGAGTAGGGCATCTAAAGCCGCATAGCCGCTCAAGCATCGGGCAGATGAAGACCTTGAAAGGGTTTAGGATTCAGGGTTTCGTGTCAGGAAGCCCGACTATATCCCTAACGGCCTGCCTGGCTTCAAACACTCACATGCTAGGCCCCCGACACGACGGGCGGTGAATCCTGAATCTAAACGTGAGCCCCAAACAAAGCCTGCAGAACAAAAGGTGGGTCATCTGTTTTGTTCATGTCGTCTTTACCATAAATTCAGAAGAATGCCTCGCACTAAACCAGACCCCAAGCCCAAGACCATGGATTTTTCAACCCTAGACCCTCATACCACACACCCTAAACCCTAAACCCCTAAGCCTTTAGCCCCTGGCCCTAAACGCTCGCCGCTTTGAGGCTTCCTGGCGAGTCTCCCTTTCCGGGTTTCTCCCGGCCGACCGCCATGGAGGCGGGTAGAATTAAGGGCTGACAGTTGCTATTAAGAAACTTCAGCGCTTCAGGGTTAAGGGCTTAGGTTGAGGAGAGAGAGAGAGAGAGATATATATATATATGGTGTCTAGTGCATGATGTCGTTTCTTTGTGCTGATAGCTGAAGTTAAGTTGCTCAGCAGCAACCCTGTTTAGGGATTGTTTGGGTAGGTTTCAGGTTCAGGGTGTAGGGTTCAGGTTTTATAGATTGGGGCTGAGAATTAGAGATTAGGATGAACATTGTTGGTCCAGGGTGTCGGGTTATGCTTCAGGGTTTCGGAAATTGCCTTGGGGGCTCAGAGTTTTTCCACAAGGAATGGAGATTCAAACGCAAGCATACGAAAGAAAAAAGGAAGCTAGAATCATGCGGGGTTGTGGGAGTCATGTAGGAAGAGTCCTTAAGGTTTGGCGGATACACGTAACCCTAAACCCTAAACCTTGATATTTTGGGGGACATGGGTGTCCGTAGAAGGAGGTTTTTTTCCCTGGGGGAGTAAGGATTGAGTTCGGAGTTAGGCTTAGGGTTTAGGGCGTAGGGCTTAGGGTTTAGGGCGTAGGGCTCGGGGTTTAGGGTTTAGGGCTTAGGGTTTAGGGTTTAGGGCGTAGGGTTTAGGGTGTAGGGCGTAGGGCTTAGGTTTTAGGGTTGAGGGTTTAGGGTTTACACTTCTGCACGATGCCCTAAGCCAGAAGGTCTCTAAGATCTGAGGTATGACTTGTCAGGGGGTATATCAGGGGCCATGGAACCCTAACCCCTAAACCCTGTGCGATTTCTGCGATTGGCAGAGCCTGGACCAAAAAGCAATATATGTGGCTGGGAACCTGAGATTTCGGTCATAGTCGCTGTTTTGGTTGTAATAGTTGCATCATCGATCTACAGGGCTTCTATGACGGATACTTACCTGAAGCCTGGTATAGTAGTTTCCATTTTCTTTTCCATTCTTTCTGAACCTTAAACCCTATAAGATCACATTATAGTGGTTTCCATTTTCTTTTCCATTCCATCAGTCCTAGCTAGCCAAAGGCCAGGATGTGGAGCACGCCTGCCTCTGTATTGAGCTTAGAAACCTTCATCTCGCCACTGTCCACACCGACATTGCCGAGCTCAGAGACGTCATCCTTGCTCGCTTATTGCCCGTGCGCCGCGCTGTTCTGCAACATGTGCGAAGTGTGTGAACAAGTTTGATCCATGACGCTGCCGCGCTTTATCCGAAGGATTTGGTTTGAATTCAAGTTGGGTAGAGTGCCATGGGAGTGGCGGCTTTGGCCTTTGTAGAGCAATGCCGGGTGGTTACCAGTCTGTGCATCCCATTGAGGAGGGCAAGTTTGTCATAAAGCAAGAAGGCAGCCGTTTTGCGGCCTACCTCGTGCCCAGTAACTTGCCAGCAATGCCCAGCGATCTCTCCCCCTTTCGCATGTATAACGCTGAAGAGGTCAAGAAACACATGATGGACATCCACAACAAAGCCCAGTTGCAAGACTTGTGCGACAAAACGGGTGTCCGTCCTGAACAGAGGACCAAGAAATCCTCCGTAGCCCAATGCCTAGCTGATGAGCTGGTGCGGGAATTAGACCTTAGCACGGCAATTGAAGAAGCACAGGCTTTGGAATCTGCTGGCAAACTGAAGGAAGCGACTGCAGCTTTTGGGGCGGCCTTGGCTATTCGGGGCGATGTTCTGCTGAAGGCACTTGCGGCAGTATGCTTTGTAAAAAACTCGCTGCAGCAGGGCTCGTCCGCAAGATTGCATGGAAAAGAACCGGAGGTTTTATTGCGGGAGATCTTGGTGGAGGCCAAAGCGGCTCCCACACGCAGTCGGGCCCTGGAGGGACAAGTTCTCCAAACTCTTAGCGAAGTCCTCTTCGCCAAGCCTGATAAGGATGCAGCAGCCATTGACCATGCCATGGAAGTTAGGCAAGAAGCCAGGGAGATGATTGTTGAAGGGACTGTTGAAGCCCTAGACTGGAAGCGGGCGAAGGCAGAGGAGTTTGCTGCTGCAGCTGCCAAGAATGAAGCCGACCACCGTCGGTTGGATGAGAACATGCTGCTGCAGAGGCTGCGGCAGATGGGTGCCAGAGAAGAAGATGCAGACTACATCAACGAGCTCTTTGAAGCATGGCACCACCATGGTGAGAACGGCGAGGAGGAGCTGGCAGAACAAAAATCACTACAGATATATATATATATATTTATGTATGTATATATATATATTTGTGTCTATTTGTATGTGTACATATATCTATATATATCTGTATGTGAATTCTTGTATAACCCATACATCACCCCTACAGAACCCTTGTAGAACCCCTTTTTTAACAGTCCCCATGTAAACTCTACAGGAGCTGTCAGTGCATGAATTCCTCCAGCGCTTCCTGGAGATCGCGCGGCGACTTCCAGGGAAGCAGTGCGGCGCACCCTGTGAAGGAGGCCTGCCACCAGGCTCTGCGCCGTTGGAGAGAGAACCTTGGATGCTGTTTATCATTTTCCTAAACCCTAAACCGTAGTACATGTTGGTTCTGGAGGGTCCATGTAGGTATTTCCTGTTCCCACGGAACTGTTTTGGGGTCCAAGTATACAACTAGATAGCTACATGGATGCTGGGACTTATGTAAACCTGAACCAACTCAATGTAGATTAAGAATGATAGCTTTCATGGTGCCTCCTCAATACCTTGCACCTTACAAAACCAACCCTCCTTTTCAGCAAATCAGGGTATTTCATTTTGTATGTAGAAGATACTAAACGTAAAATTTGGTACCCCAAAGCAGGGTAGGGTATAGGGGTCTCTCAACATAGATTAAGAATTATGATTTCTTATGGTATTTCCCGGAACCCTAGAAACTTCAATCCTACACCCCAAACCTTTTAACCTCAAACCCTAAACCCTACACTCCAAACCCCAAACCCTAAACACCTACACCCTGAACCCCAAACCCTAACCCCCAACCCCAGAACCCTTAAGCCCGACACCCCAATTCAAGGAGCTGGTTCGACTGGTTTCGCGAGACGGGAAGGGAAATTGGCCGGCAAAGGCGGCAGAGCTGAGAGGCTCCTTCCCAGAGGATCCGTTTTAGGGTTTAGGGGTTTAGGGTTTAGGGGTTTAGGGCTTAGGGGATTAGGGGTTTAGGGGTTTAGGGTTTAGGGGTTTAGGGGTTAGGCTTGGGGGTTTAGGGTTTAGGGGTTTAGGGGTTTAGGGGTTTAGGGGTTTAGGGTTTACGGGTGTATAGTCCCCCTTAAGTAGATAGAATATAGGGGCTATATAGGGTGTACATTGAGGTCATATTGGGATGATGGAAAGTAAAATCTAGACTACTATATCATGTAGGCTCATGGGGCTGAGGAGTTTAGGGTTTAGGCTTTAGGGTTAGGATTTTAGGGTTGAGAGTTTGGGGGTTCGGGGCTTAGGAGTTTAGGGTTTAGGGTCTGGGGCTTAGGATTTAGGGTTTAATCTTTTTGGCTTAGGGTACAGGGTTTGCAGGGTTCAGGGTTTGGACTTTAAGCTTGTATTCTTAACGTTTGCAATCTTGTGTTTCGAGTCCCCAATAGCCTGAGTCAGGGTTTTGATGTAAATCTATATATAGATATATCTATCTATTCCATGGATTGGGCGTCGAACCCCAAGGGTACAAACGAAAACTCCTTACCCCCAAGCCCAAATCCTAGACCTTAAATGCAGAGGCCTGAACCTTTAACCCTGGATCATAAACCTTTGACCCTGAACCCTTAAGCCTAAACCCTATAGACCCTAAAACCCTTAACTCCTATGCCTGAAAACTCCCTGAGAGGAGACAGCGGAGTCTCTGGAGGCGCTTTGGCACAGCCTTGCGCCCAAGATCAAAAAGGTCATAGAAACTTGGCGGGCTGTTTAGGGCTTAGAGTTCAGGGTCATAGATACTTGGCTGGTTTTTTAGGGTTTAGGGTCATAGATACTTGGCTGGCTTTATCTGGGCTGTGAGGACATGACTTGTTGTTTTTTCTTAGAATTTCCTACTAGGCGGCGAGAAGCTGAACGCCTAAGACGGGTCCTACAGTCAGCTTAGGATAGTGTCGAGCCCACCTAAAAACCCTTACCACACCGCCAGAAAGGCATCCCTAGACCCTAAACCCTAAATCCCTTCATCCCTGAATCCTGAATCGCTGAATCCCCCAATCCCTAAACCCTATAAGCCCTAGATCCCTAAACCCTGTAAACCTACATGTCAATATTCCTCGAAGTTGCCCCCCATTTACCTTGAACCTACTTGAGTCCTTGGTACAACGTCCGAAGATGCAAGCCCATGGTATCATGAATTTGACACCCCCTACCATACGTCGAAACCCTCAACCCTAAACCCTTAGGATAGTGACGAGCCCATGGCATGTGGGCACAGCTGCAGTACCTGCCCGACGAAGCACGAGTGTCAGGTTCATGATGCGATCAAAGATATCGAAGATCTTTAGTGTGTAGGACCTGCAATTTTCCAACTGAGGGGTGAGATTCAATACCCCAAAGGGCCCAAATACCCAATCATTATGTACTTGGGATATGGGTAACAGTAGCTAAAGTACAGGTTCAGGGTAGGTACATGACTTTTAAGTATGTGGGACCCTGAGGGTACGGCAAACCAGCGCTTTTGCCAGCAGCAGTTTGCCAAAAAGAGTTGAGCGACTGCAGTTGCTTCAGACACCTGGGAAGTTTGGGAATGGGGGTTATAGGGATAACGGAAAAGAAGATGGAAGCTAAGAGGTTAGGGTTTACGGTGTAGGCATAGGTCATCGTACCTTGATTCTGGACCATCACGGGCAATCAAATGGAAGAGCAAACAAGAATGGAATGGAAACTTGGGGGGTCATGGTTATATCCCTGGATCACTCTGCCCCTCAACCCCAGACAACTCAATCCTTACCCGCCTCAACTTGCTACACTCCCCCAAACTAACATGGAAACCCATATAGCCCCCTTTTAGAAGGACTCTAGTCTTTATTGGGCCCTTTTTGGGTTTCCATGTTAGTTTCCGGGAGGGTACTTCATGACAGGCTCGGGCTTCCTGGACCTTGCCAAGTTCCGGATTGCTGATGCCAAAGCATACAGGGGTTCGGGTTTCCAGGGTTATTTGGGAAATTAGTAGGCTTAGTTGTATTTTGTGGTTCTCTGCTAAGGTCTGTGCAGTTTCGCTAGTGAGCCTGGGAGAAAGAGTAGGAGTTCCTGGTCCCAACCCTAAACCTTAAGCCTAAATCCTAAACCCTAAGCCGTAAGCCCCTTAACCACAATTTCAGGATCTGTTCTGCTTGGCTCCAGAGCCTACATGCTTTTGGAAGCAGGCCAAGACCCAGCATTGCTTAGGGTTCACAGGCTTTAGGGACTACCTAAACCCCCGGTAGGTAAAACAATAGGCCAAAACCACCCAGAATAGCCCAAAAGACCATTATGCTGGATATTTTTAGGGTTCAGGTAGGATCCCCCATATCCAGGATTTTAGTGCCCTTAATTTAGGCTTTAGGGCCCCCTAAGAATGAGTATTTATGCCTAAATTAGGAAGGATCCAGGATAATTTAAGGTATATTCCCTATGTAGGGGATATTGGGCTTTCTGGGCAGCGCAGTACCTTTTCCTACAAAGCTAGTAGCTATAACGCTATTCTCACTGGTGGTGAGTAGGATGTTCTTACTGGTGGTGAGCAGGAAATATGGTATAGGGTTTAGGGTTTAGGCTAGGGAACAGGGGAGTGTAATCCCTATATAGGCCCTACATATAAATCATCCCCTTATTGCCTACTAACCCCCAGTAAGCCCAAAAAGGTACCCCTAACTTTAGGAAACCCTTATGTTCCTCATGCCCCGGAAGGTGCGCAAGTTGCACACAGCACTGGCGAAGCGTTTCGGCGAGCGTGTTCCAGGCGAGGCTATCTAGCCTACCTATGTTTTGCAGGGGTTAAGCGATGTAGCCTACCTATGTTTTGTATTAAGCTCCGAGAGCCCAATACAGCCTAATTGCGGTGTCTGGCGTGAATCTCATTAGGGGACCCTTAATCTGATTTAAGGTTTCTTCTTTGATGCAGGATCATTGGGCTCGCTGGGAGATTGCCAGGATGGTGACCTATGTTTTCGCAGAATATAGTTCAGTTCTCGTAGAGTATAGTTCAAAAAAGTTAGGATATCCAGTTCCAGGTGGGGGAGGGCCAGGATTTGGGATTAGAATGATAGAAGCTAGGACCTGCGCAACGTCTTAGACATTCTCGTGCAACAGCTTTCAAGTTGTGGGCAGGTGCCAAGCTAGAGCCTATAGTTCCTTGCAATTAGATATCTAGTTCTTGTTGCTCACTTTCATATTATGCCTACTCAGTAGGCCTCCATCGCAGGCAAATCGCGACGTCCTATCCTGGACACTGTCGTTGGCACAATCCTGCTCCGCACCAAGGGGGCAGTGTCGGGGCTATTGCTACCCTTTGTATATGTACATATACAGATGTATATATGTATACACACATGCTTATGTTTATATACATGTATGCACACACATATATATAGGCCATATAGGGGTCATTTTTTTGCATTTAGTGGCACCTGACACGTAAACACTGAACATGATCATTTTATTTTCCATTCTCCCAGTATAATCCACAAATTTACTAACGTAGTTTCCATTTTATTTTTCATTATCCCATTATAACCCCAATGTACTAAAGTAGCTGCCATTTTATTTTCCATTATCCCAGTATAACCCCAACATACTATAGTAGCTTCCATTTTATTTTCCATTATCTCTATGGGGCCCCCTGCACACTCAACCCTATAAACTGAAGCCTGGGCTTCGGGATGTAGGGCTTCGAGCTTTGCAATTCCGAGTTTGATGCCTGTAGGTTCTGGGCTTCAGGGGGCAGATAAGAAAAACCTTAGAGTTTGAGGGGGTCCGCATGTACTGTCATGGCTACGGTTAAGGAAGGCCGATCTATATGCACATCCAGATATAGTCCCCCTTCAGTAGATGGAATATGGCTTCGGGTATATTTTAATAAGATCCCCATCTACCCCACATATTCTATCTACTCAAGGGGGACTATATGAGGGTTTGGGGCTTAGGGGCCTTCAGCCACCCTAATGCCCAACATGCAAAATATCTGCAGTCCTAGTCACTTCGTGCACACGGCAACTAGGAGGAGTGGGCCGAGGTCGCAGAACACCACGAACACAAACTCCCACCGTGCCTTTCGTCAGCTCAAGAAGAGCTGCTTGCCGGCGCTGTCTAGGGTTTCTTTTTCAGATTTACGGCTTCAAGGTTTATAGGGTGAAATTCATTGAGGGCCCAAGGCTTTAGGGGCATAGGGTTTAGGGCTTCGGATTAGGTCTTTGACATGAAGCTTTTTGAAGTAAAAAAAACCTATCTTAGAGTTTAAGACACGCTCTAACGGCCGAGTGCATCCCCAAGTAAGGGTAGTAGGAGTGTCTAGGTTTACAAGTTTAGCCTAAGACTTTCCAGGCCGGGAAGCCCAGCAGCTAGCACAAGGATGTGGCAATCCTGGTATTTGGGAACTAGGCAAGCTGGATGGTTTACATGTGATCAAAAGTAAACCCCTGTAGGTCCAAAAACTGTGGAGTTCATGGAAAGGCTTCAACGAGTAAAGCTTCCTTCCCAAAGGATCCATGTAGGTATATGGTATATACTTGGGCTTTAAACAAGGTATATGGGAACTCGTTTAGGCCCTAAGTATATACCATATACCTACCCTAAACCTTAAATCCTAAAACCCCCCAAAAAACCTAAACCTTGAACCCCAAACCCTATACTAAATAGATATATATATATATACATACCTACATCGACCTTTGGGGCTCGTGGACAGATCCTGCAAGTTTGCAGGCTAACACCTCTGCAGTTGCGCGTAGGCGTAAGCAGAGGACATCTCATACCTTCCCAAAGTCAAAGTAAGGGATTACAATTAGGGTTTCGGGTTTAGGGTTTAGGGTTAAGGGATTACAACAGTACACCCCCACAAAGGTACCCCCCCCCCCCCAGATTTAGAACCCTATTAGGCCTCATTAAGCCATATATAGTCCTTATTAGCTTTTTAAACCCTGGGGGGTGTACCTTTGGAGGGGGGGTAGTATTGTAATCCCTTACAAAGGGTCCATGTATGTACAGAGTATATACTAGAGTTTAGGGCTTAGGACCTAAGTATATAATACCATATACCTGCATGGGCCCCTTGGGTTTTAGGAGATTCCTTCCAAAATCTGTTCGGCAATTTAGGCACATTTTCCAAGCTCTACGCCTCTGAACCATTCCCCTCAAGTCCTGCCCTGAAGGATATATTCTACTTATCCGAGTATACCAAGAATGCTTACATTGAGCCTTCTAAAGGTTTATAGTTTATAAAGACCCGCATTGGGATTTTTGTGTCCTTGCAGTTGAACACTTTAAGCCCTAAGTCCTAAACCCTAAGCTACTGAGGCTACCCTTCCTGGGATGCAGTGAGGAAAGCGTCACCGGGTTCAGTTCAGGCTCCGGACAAGCTCCAGTGCATATAGGTTAAGGGGACACAGATTGTATTTTGGTTAAGGGGTTTAGGGTTTAGGGTTTAGGGTATGTAAGGGTTTACATTGTTGAGGGTGCTTTTATATATCAAATAGATTGATTACAATGACGGGGAGTTTGGCTACCTCAAGTGGAGGGTCAACTGCAAGAGACAATGGACACTTAAATGCAGAGTGGGCTGATACCGGAAGAGGGGCTGTTGGTGTTCCCTGCCCTTCTGGAACCGATGAGTACCTTGCGACTCTTCCAGGGTCCTTCTGCTAACAGTGTGCCGGATTCATAGTAGTTTCCTATTGCAAAGGATCCTAATGAGGTAGGGTTTTAATCATCAGCTTCGTTGAGTGTACGTAGAAATCTTCATTTTTGGGGGGAGGTGTTTATATTCGGTGTCCATGTTGGGGACCATAAATAAACCAGAATATTGAACCTAGAAGGCTTGGGCTTGCGGACTTGATTGTATGCCTGCGGCTTCATCTATCTATAGCGCCGTACGTTGATATGATTT